TACACTAACTCCACGGCCTATACACCGCCGCAAGCCCAGACACAGGTGACTACTAGATAGTCAGAACAGACTGGGAAACAGTCGACACAATGAAGAAACTTACCCTGGTGGCGGTCATGCTGGCTCAGGGCACGGCCCGGTGGGGGTTATCCTGGCCTCATGGGGGAGGCACGCGCCAAGACGGAAGATTCCGTGCTGGGCCCATGCTGTCCTCCTGGACTGGCAAAGGCTGCCGAAAAGGGGCCCGCTAGCAAAAGGGACTGCAGGGACTTATGCAACCATCCTTTGGGACACCACAGACCGCACGTACAAGCCCGGGATTGACCGGGCCACGGACAGATGACCCAGACCACCCACAAGCCACGGATGCTCAACTGCTGGGTCTAGTGGGCGCCATGCAGGACGGGGGTTTGCTTGCCTCCGGCAGACCGGTGGCTGTGGGGTGGCACGCCCTCTCCTATGTCTGAGCGGCCGGAGATGGGAGAGACTTTCACGGGCATCCAATGACCCTACCGAGGCACCAATGGTCCAGAGGAGGTGCAGGAGGCACTAGGACTGCAGACTCTTGAGGGGCTAGCTGCATGGAATCACATTGCCCCCAAGTGCCCCCTGTACTAGGGTGCTCAGAGGGGAGGCTGGAGGGGACCTGGGGAAGGAGTGCAGAGGCCCGGCACCCTGGGTGGCCGTACACCACTGTCTGCCCCGCGGACTTTACAAGCAACCCGGATGTCTCCCAGTTCTACACGTCTCCTCGAGCTAAAAGTGCATAAAGGAGATTGAATTTTGATTTGGGTTTACATTAATTTAAGTATGCAGTGATAGCAAGCGTACATTCCCTATATGGCTTACATTCAAACATGCACCATTTTGTCGTTATATCATTAGAAGCAGTAACACTGCCACCAATTAAGCTTCATGCTCCCGCTATTTAACTATTGCATGGTATATTTTGAAAATATGTTTGCTTAAACAGGCGCCCAAATGGCATTCTACTATCTAAGAGTGAAAAATATGTTATTCTGCTGATTTATACAAAAATGCTTTCCTATGGGGATTTCAGCGATGCCAGAGGTCATCACATAGCGTGAGGACCTCCAGCGTCGTTTTAAACCACTTTTTCGTGTTCTATGAACACGGAAGTGTCCTCAAGTAGCTGTCTAGTAGACAGCCACTAGAGGAGGACTTAACCCTGCAATGTAAATATTGCAGTTTATGAAAACTGCAATAATTACACTTGCAGGGTTAAGGGTAGTGGGAGTTGGCACCCAGACCACTCCAATGGGCAGAAGTGGTCTGGGTGCCTGGAGTATCCCTTTAACCCCTTAAGGACACATGACGTGTGTGACATGTCATGATTCCCTTTTATTCCAGAAGTTTGGTCCTTAAGGGGTTAAACCAATTACATGCTCACAAGGTTATTTTAGCTGATGGGGTCTTAAATATTCTTCAATGAGATATGTACCAATAAAAGCAAACTAAACATTCCATACTGGAAACCTGTAATATGTTACCCCTAAGTTTGAGAATGCAGTTTCTAAAATGCCTTTAATGCTTATATAAAGATAGAACTGCTGCTCTTGTTGTGCCGCAAGGCCCAATGGTGAAGGACTCCAGGGTGCATGCTCCCTTCAAGAAGCTGTAATCAAAATTATTCAACTGACCCCATAGAAAATCATGTTTATTGTCAAAATTTACAGACTTTCAGCTGTTTGCAATGAACAAATCAAACAAAAGCAAGTGACATAGCTCAACACAATAAATGCTGGAGAAGTGGCTTCTCCAGCCTCAAAATTATTCAACCACTTCACGGCAAGCATCTTTAGCACTTAGTAGAGCACACTTTTGCTGCTATGATCTGCTGCAAACAAAATGCATAGCCACACACCAGATTCTGGCAGCATTCCTGAGAAATCTAAGCCCATTGCTCATGAGCAATGGCCTCCAGTTCAGTCATTTTCTTGGGTTTGCGTGCTGCAACTGCCATCTTCAAATTCCACCAGAGATTGTTTATGGGGTTCAAGTCAGGCAACTGTGATGGCCACTGTTGAATTTTCCAGGACTTCATCTGCAACCAGGCCTTGTGGAATTTGAGAGATGCTTGGGATCATAGTCTTATTAAAAGGTCCAATGACATCCAAGCTTTAGCTTCCTCGCAGGTTTCCACTGCCAAAAGAGGAAAAGCAGCCCAAGAGCATCACGAGCCACCATTATGCTTAATTGCAGGCAAAGTGTTCTTTTCAACGTATGCTTCCTTCTTCTACCTCCAGACATACCACTGATCTATTGGACTGAAAAGTTCTGTTTCATCGCTCCACAGAACAGAACTCCAAATCTTCTGTGGCATATTTACATGATTTTGAGCATACTGAAGCCGACTTTTCTTGTGCTTTTGGGTCAGTAGTGGTGTACGTCTTGGAGTACACACATGAAAACCTTCTGCATTTAGAACACGCCTTACTGTGCTCATAGAAACTTCAGTGCCTTTTGCCACCATGTCTTGCTAAAGGTCTTTTGCAGTCACTCGTGGGCTTTTCACAACCTGACTTCTCAGAAATCTGGTTGCATCCATTGATAGCCTCCTTTTTCTGCCCCGTCCAGGTAGTGTAACCACTGTTCCTTTAACTTTGAACTTGCGAACTCTGCTTCCCAAGGTGTCTCTAGGAACATTCAGTGCCTTCACTATATTTTTGTAGGCTGTTCCTTGTTTGTGAATGACCATGCTCTCTTCAGTTAACTTTGTGAGCCATTCTTTTGACTGAGCCATATTTTTAACATGCAATCACACATGACACTCATCAAACCCTTAGCAAGTCCAGGTATTTCAAGTGTTCCAGCTCAAGAACACTTGGTGCAACTAATGAAGGCCTTGATTAGTTGCATAAGCTGTGCTTGAGACAACATCTGTTTTGCATATTTGTGCTGTTGTGGGGGATTCTATTCAGGGGGTTGAATAATTTTGAGACTGGAAAAGTCATTATAAATTGCATTTTCAGTGGGAATCTGTCTTTTACTTATATTCTGGGAAATTTCTCCTTCGCCCTCTTCAGCAATGTGTGACAACGCAGTCACATGGGGGAGAAGAAGGTACAGCTCTGTAGGGTCAGCACAGTGCCTATTGGCCAAGTGGATCAGTATGTCAACTGCGATGGAGAGAGCAGAGTGTGTCACCTGCAAACACTGGCTGATCATTGCAGTCCCCTTTAAATTAATCAATATGACATAATTTTCTGCCCAGCAGTGCTTCATTCATTCTGTAGCTTGTAAAGACAAAGTCTGCATGCAGGCGGTACATGCTGCTCTTATAACACACTGGACTGCCAGGAGGTGTTTTTGAGACTGTAAGTGTGTGTAAGGGAAAGATTATATGAACAATTTACAGGGGAAGAGATGGGTGAGATGGAAAAGCGAATCGAGGTGCATTATTGAGAGGAAAAGTTAAGAGGGAGGACAGAGGAAGGGGGTGTTTGGTACAATAGAGGAAGAGAATATTGAAGAAATATAGACCCCTCTGGAGACAGAGAGGAAGGAAAGAAAAAAGGGGGAAATGGTCTGGTTAGTGAAAGGTAGATGGAATGTAGATCTGCAGAGAGTTAAAACAATTAGAACAGGTGAATGGAGGCAGTGGAGTATATACCGACTGAAAAAAACTGAATAGAGACTTGCAAAGAAGGTGGAAACATTTGCGAACAGAGACTAGTTGAGATTTAAAGGGCAAAAGAGGATAAGAACTAGAAACCTTGTTTCATGTCTCCCTTTTCTCTTTATGCAAAGGAGAGAGCTTAAAACAGTGAGTGACAGCGGGCTAATATGGAAATACATAGTTGCAGAATAAAGAGATGTAGATTTCAACATTAAATTTTATTTTTCACACCTTTAATATAGGGCAGTGATGGCGAACCTCTGTGGGCACGCGGCCACAGGTCGCCGGAGGGAGGGAGGGTGCGCTCCGCCGGCGCATCCATAAGGCGGCACAAGTGGCGGGCGCTCCCTCCTGCCAGGCACTCTGTCTAGCATGGCCGAGCGCGCCGCGGTACTGGAACTTAGGTTTCCTGTACCCGGGCGGACGGAAATTAAGTGCTCACAGAGAGAGCTTTTCCTGTCCGGCCGGGTACAGGAAACTGAGCTCCGCGGTGCGCTCAGCCATGCTACAAGGTAGGAGATCGTGGACGGGGGGGGCGGGATGAAAACTAAGGGAGGGAGGGGGGTAGAAAGAAAATTGAAGGGGAAGAAAACTGAGGGAGAGATGGGGGGGGAAGAAAACTGAGGGAGAGATGGGGGGAACTGAGGGAGGTATGGGGGGAGAAAACTGAGTGTGGGATGAGGGAAGGATGGGGAAAACTGAGGGAGGGATGGGGAAAGAAAACAGTGGAGGGGGTGGGGGACGACATACACACAGCACCCCTGCCCTACACATATCACCCCATACAAACACACACACATCACCCCACACAAACACACACACCACCCCACATCACCTCACACAACCCCACACACTTACACACATCACCCCACACACACATCACCCCACACACATCACCCCACCCACACACATACATACACACCACCCCACATCACCCCCCCCACACACACACATCACCACACACACATACACACACACCACCCCACATCACCCCCCACACACACACACACACATCACCCTACACACAAACACATCACCCCACACACAAACACATACACTGTACCCCTAAATACAGTGTGTGTACACTCAGCAGTCTGTGTGTGTGTACACTCAGCAGACTGTCTGTGTGTGTACACTCAGCAGTCTGTCTGTGTGTGTACACTCAGCAGTCTGTCTGTGTGTGTACACTCAGCAGTCTGTGTGTGTGTGTGTGTAATCAGCAGTCTGTGTGTGTGTATTTAACAGTCTATATGTGTGTGTGTGTGTATTTAGCAGTCTGTGTGTGTACTCAGCAGTCTGTGTGTGTGTACTCAGCAGTCTGTGTGTACTCAGCAGTCTGTGTGTGTTTAGCAGTCTGTGTGTGTGTGTGTGTGTGTGTGTATTTAGCAGTCTGTGTGTGTATTCAGCAGACGGTGTATTCAGCAGTCTGCTACATACAGACAGACTGCTAAGTACACAGACAGACTGCTAAGTACACAGACTGCTAAATACACACACAGACAGACTGCTAAATACACATACAGACAGACTGCCGAGCACACACACAAACTGCTTAATACACACACAGACTGCTAAATACACACACACACACATATAGACTGTTAAATACACACACACAGACTGCTGATTACACACACACACACACAAACTGCTTAATACACACACAGAGATGTTAATTAGTTCAGACAATTGTACGAGTTGTTTTTTCTAAACTTAAACCTCAGTATTCAGGTTTAATTGCCGTTTTGGCACTTTGAGGGGGAAAAAATTGGCATGTATTACGGTTTGGGCACTCGGGCTCAAAAAGGTTCGCCATCACTGATATAGGGGATAAGTAAACATAATATAGCAAATCCTGGGAAGTTACAGTTTCCCTTTAATTATATTGTGGGGTAGAAATATCAGCAACCTTTGCCATTTCTATCATATACTTGCAACCATAAACAAAATACTTTTCCCTGTCGTAATTATAATTCATTCCTTGTGCAATGTTTCTTCAGAAAGTTAACAAGCATTGAGTTTGTCACATTTCTAATTTCATCTGAACAGTCCTTTAATGCTTTGTTTTGTGCCAATGCATTGTGACAGATTATGAGATACTGACATTCTGCCTTATGTGATATATGTATAAACTGGAGACAGTTCTAATATACAGAAGTACAAATTAATCCAGAATGCCTCTTCTGGCATGCTTGTTCTGAAAGTTATCTGGGATAAAATGTGGTCAGAAGAATTGATGTGAGCACTCATTTGATGATGTACACAAACATGCCTCATGCCTACAGCTGCGTGTACAGCCAGAACATCGGTCCATGACATATTAATATCACCATCATAACATGCCATGTCACTGTGCATGACAACACGCATGCTAGGCCATCTTTTCTAACTCTTTTACCATTAACTACGTGAAACAAAACATGGCTGAAAGCCAGTGGTTGTATATCATTCAGTCATGTTTAAGGATAGCCCTCCTGAGTCTCTCCAGCTGATGATGAACTACATATACCAGCATCCTCACTTAATGCAATCAAGATTAATTTTGTAAATACCAACATGTTACTTTGACATGTAGCATTTTTGCTGCTCATCTTGTGTGCCAATGGGCTACATTTCCCATGATGCAAAGTCAATCTGATGAACTACAAATACCATCACCCTCGCCTGGTGCAATTATGAAACAACTGTATCGTGTTTTCAGCATGGGATGGTGTCACTTGTGGTCCATCAACAAACTTAGAGATCGCAAACATCATCTTTGAAAAGGTTAGGCATCCCTGAGTTAAGGGCTTGATTTCTAAGGAAAAACTTAAAAACATAATATATTGCTACTTATGTTATCAAACAAATTTCAACATTTAAGAAAAGTGTACGATGAAGTATAATGTTCTGTGTAACTTTAGAAAGGAAAATTAGAAAAGAATGGAATATCACAGCAAAAGGTCTGAGGAGCGAACACTTACCTTGATCACCTCTGGGCATGCATAGTGAGGAGACCTTGAGACGATTGTTTAAGGCAAGAAAGATAAAGAGATGGAAACAAAAGAGAAAGAATGAATATGTTAACTGCAAGAGGAAGAGGAATATGTTAATTAGTTTAATTAGTTTAGTTAATGAACTGTACAGTAGAGTCTTCCAGAGAATATTGGTATTAATTTGTCTGTAAAGTCAGATTTCAAGGAATAAAATTAAGAATGCAGACACAGAACATTTACAAAAAAAAAATGCGGAGTTATGGTTTTAAAAGAGTATTTCCCCTTTTATTCATTTTTTTGTATGCGAAAAACATAGAACATTTTGAGTACGTAGTTTATTATATGCATAATTCTGTTTTAATTATTTTATAAACAAAAAATGAGTTGTGTACGTAACCAGAATATAACACCTCTACAGTCTTGGAAAATTAATAATGGAGTTTCAGAACAAACATATATATATTAACGACAAACTTGAATCTGGTGCCTAAAGAGATTTTATGTTCTGGGAACGTTTACAAAAACTAGGAACATAAAAAAACAAGAAATAGCATTAGAAAATTATAAGCAAGGAGCACAACAGCAAATGTGCAATTATATGGGTTTAGAAAGCCCTGGATACAGGCAACATTCTACAGCAAAAAACAAAAACATAAAACGGTTAAAAATAAAATATACATGTGATAAGGTATATCCTTAGATGAAAAAAGAAAAGTTTTTGCAAAGATTTGAAAAGTAGCACTATCATATAGGCCATTACATTTGTAAATTAAATGAATTAAGCAGATTATAATGCATATATATATATACTTATTATAAATATGTTATATAACAGAAAAGGTCCAATTTTTATTTTAATTTAAGTGACTTTGCATTATGTGTGGTCATATACTCCTGGCTGTTATATGGAGAGGTGGTGGATGTCAACTGGAGTGCGGCAGGCTTTTGTGGGACTAATAGTGGATCCACCACAAAATACGTGAATCAAAGAAATGGGAATAGTAAAAGAAGGAGAATATAATGAGCCGGGTAGGAGGGGTGCAGGAGGTTTGCATTCGCAGACCTCTGACCCTTCCACAAATTTTGGCTAATCAGTTGTCTTACATTTGAAAATTGAAAATGGTTGAGTATGACATTGTTTTCTCAGATGCACATAAAGATGTTATCTTTATGAAATACAAATTTTGGGGGGAAGGGTGGTATAACAGTGATTTTTTTTATTGATTTTTTTTTAAGGTCGAAAATACTTATATAAAAAAACAGCATAAATCCCTGTAACCTAACCTTCAAGACGCACATACCATGTAGGTGCCTTGAGTGACCTTTTAAGACTATAATTTGTAACAAGTTATATGCATTTAGAGATACATTTATTTATTTAATTGCTAATTCTCTACTTACCCACAGCTGGTCTCAAGTAAACTGTCGCCGACCTGCAGTGACGCCATTCCAAAATCTGCTATTCGAATGTTGTTTTTTTCATCTAATAATAAATTTTCAGGCTTCAGGTCTCTGTGGCTGACGATAGTTTAAAAAAAAATAAAAAAACACAGATTGAAGATTGTAAACTCTCATGAACATGGTATTACATATGTTATTTTGTTTTCAAATGTATCTGCAGAATGTTAATTTTATACACCTGCCAACATTGTCTGCCCTTTAACTGGGACCAAGGTATTCAGGTTGGGACAGGCCACCCAGAGTGCTGGATCACCATGAAATGGATGGGTTCAACAATAAATTTGGCAAAATCACCCCTAAAGTGGGTGGCCAGGCTGGATGACAGCCGTCCCCAAGAAAGACCATGCATTCAGTGGAGCTGAAGAGCTCTCTGCATGGTAGTACTACCCTTTTTCTTGTTGTGCCTTGAAATCTGCAGATTGTACTGTTGGGCAGATTTGAGAATGCAGGACTGGATCCTGGGTTCCATTTTTGTGAAAACAGGACCCAGAAATTCAAGACTATACAGACTAATTTGGGACTGTTCGCACCAGTGCTTTTATAACTAAGCTTAACCATCAATGGCATTATATTCCTGTACCAATACAGGTCATTGCTTCAATAGATTGATGATGTTTCCAAATCCTGTAATGTACAGCATGACTTCACGTCGAGCATTAAAAACAGACGTGTCAATTCATATTATTTTGTCATGTCATTTTGATGAGATTTCCCTTGATCGCCTGACAAACTGGCTGCGTCACCCTGTGTCAAGAGGACTGATAAAAAGACCACCCTGAGCGCATGATTATCCAAGCTTAGAAGGCATTTCAGGGCATTTAAACCCATATGCATGTGCTACAACAACTGTCTGCATGTGGGCTGCCCTGATTGGCTTCTCTGCTCAGCAACCAGTCATCCTGTTGATCATTTTCACCAAGATGACACCCCCCTTCCCCCCCTAATTTGGCAGACATGCTCATCCCTAGGCCCAATCCTATCCTACCACCTCCCACTTTCAATGTCATATCTGATCAATTTAGCAAGTCTATAAAAGCCATTCTGTATAACATTCTCATGGTATTCATTATAGTAAGAATTTAAAGTGAATTTCAATCTTAAGGTCAAAATAGCCAAATTGGAAAAATTAATCAGCTATTTTTTCAGTTCAGCTACTTTAGGCTAAATTTTTAAATTCACTTTGAATTCACTCTGAATTCTCATGTTGGTGAAAAACCCTGTCTCTGAATGCAAATTGAATTATGGCTGCCTGAAAGTGTGACTCTCATCAATCTCAGGTGTCTCAGGACATCCTAGGGCTGTACTAAGTAACTAATATAGCAAAGTTATAATTTATTCTACAGCTCAGCTATTTTAGCTTTGAATCTGCAAATTAGATTTGTAATCCACAATGCAGTGAATAAACCCTCGTGAAATTAAAATAAAAACATCAGATGATTGAGAAAATGGATAGTACAAAATAACTGAATATATTTAAGCAAGATTAAATTTGTAAGAGTATCCTAAAAATACAATTATAACAAGTTAAAGGTTCTCAATCAATCGAGAAAAAAAAAAGATTAGGTGCGCTAAGACCGATCTGCCGTCAGTTTCAGAATCTTGCTTGTTTCTGCTCATCCAAACAAATCTTTTTTATTTTGTTCATCTACCCCAAGTTCAACCCCCGCAAAAGCAATTTTAATTTTTCTCATATATGCTCATCATTCAATTTCAGCCAGATTGATAGGCAGAGTGGCAGAATACTATTTTAGTAACAACGCAATGCATGTCACGTCACATCTTCTAAGATAAAAATTTGCACTCACCATATGGAGTAACTGTGACAGAAATCAAGGGCAGATATGATTTGTCGGAAGAATTTTCGAGCCTCTTTTGGAGTTAACCGGCCTTTTTTAACCAAATAGTCAAAAAGTTCTCCACCGGATACATGTTCAAGGACTAAATATCTAAGCAGAATTATAACACAAGTATTAAGATCATACATTTGTAGGATTGTTAATTCATTTCAATATTATCATTTCTTTAGCATCA